CGGTGGCCCTGGGCATCACCCAGGTGTAGATGCATGGGCTGATCTGTAAGCCTCAGTGGGGCTGGAGGGGAGATGGTTCCAGCGGCACTTACAGCCCTGGGAAAAGTCCCACTGCCCAGCCAGCACCACAGGTCACCAGCTTGATTTGAGCAGAGCCAGCACAGTCTGGCTGTTGTCATGGTCCATGTGGTGACCAGGGAGCATCACCTCCCTCCCTTAGGGCTTCCATCCATCCTCGTAGATGCTCTTCCATGCGATTTGCAGCTGCTCTCATGGCAGATCCAGCTGAAGCCACCCAGAGGCTCAAATGCTGGACTGAGGGCAGGCATGACACCTCCAACACGGATCAGCTGTGAAGACAGCAGCAGCCACCAGCTCCAGGGCTGCCACCTCCCCTCTCAGGTGCCCTGCTGCCTCAGAGAGGAATCTGGCCAGGCAGCGCCTGCCACCACTGCCACCCTGTGTCACCTCATGTTTCTATCTGTGGGCATTGCCCACGGGCCATGTTTTGAAATGCACGGACACCGGGGCAGGTGGCTGCCCTCAGGAACGCTGAGCTTAAATGGCACATGTCTGTATAGAGGGAGGTTTCTCTCCTAATTTACAGGCTTTTAAAAAATATCCAGGCTCTAGATGTCACATCGACTTGGCGACACGTGACAGGGTCCTTTGCTGACTCTTGGCCGGAGCAAGGATTGAGCTGTGGGTAATGTGGTCTCTGATTTACGCTCCAACAAGAAGGTGTTGCTGAGATGCTGGGAGAAGAAGCAGAGACGGGTCCCTCTGCTCCTTTTCTCTGTTTCACTGCCGCAGGGAAACAACTGCTCTCTCTTAACAAAAAAAAAAAAGATCTCGGAGCAGCTTTGCTCGATGCCTTCACTGGCCTCTCCGGGGGCTGCCACCTGTCCCATGCTGGGCACAGCTGCTCCCACCACCTCTGCCCTCCCTGCCTCTGCATCATACGCCTCTCCCTGCCTTCCAGCCCTCGCCCTCCCTTTCTTTTCCCTTCCCTTTGTTCACGCTCTCCAGTGGCAGAGCCCAGGCTGCTGCAGGAGGGGAATATGTGAACCTCTGGGTCCTCAGTGCTGGTGGTGGCTTTCTGTGCTGGCTCCCAGTTCACTGGTCCCCATTGCCCCTTGAGATGGGGCAAAACAAAGGAGAAACCTTTCCCCTGGCCTCCCCTCCTCTTCGCTAGGACATCTTTCCCATGCCCCTTCTTTTCTGCTTGGTGGGGAGCCATCTTGCTTTGAATGGGTTTGGGGCAATAGGAACAGCCTGGCTGGATAAGGATTCATTTCTCTTTGCAGAAGCTGCTTGAGAGCTTTGGTGGTTGAACAGGAGACAAAATAAAGAAGAAGAGCACCCAACATGTCGCAGGTGTTGAAATTCTCCCTCTGCCCTCAGAGGGGTCTGCAAAGCAGCTGTCTCGGGGGGATGAAGGATGCTGTGGGCAGAGCTCACCAGGCCCTGTGCAGAGGCACCCCAGGAGGTTCACGCCAGGGGTGGTGTCTTTGGGGATAGTGGGGCTTCTTCCCTTTTCTTGCCTGGCTTTTTTTCTCAGCTCATCTTGTGGCATCTCATGCCAAGAGGTGTGGACCACGGCTGCCAGGACTGCACCCTATCTTAGAGGGGGGGCAAGGAGGGTGCTCAGCAGCATGGCCATTGCATTGTCACCCACGGAGCCATCTGGAGCTCTCTGAGGCCCCACCAGCGAAGGGGTTACAGGGTGCTGCGTGTGCAGGTACCTCCCTTGGAGGTGCCTTGGGGATGGAGGGGCCTAGATCTGTTCTAAGCCTCCTTTTCTCCACCTGCAGAGAGTTTGTGTCTGGGAAGTGTTTAATTTAGAAAGGCCAGTGCTGCTGTATCGCGTTTCCTGTGTCGGTCTCTGTTGGTTTATGACCAGTGAAATCCTGGTGTGAAAACAGAATCAAGCTTTGATTTCATCTGCCCCTGCTGTTTTATGCCACTAACAACTTTGCATTTCTATAGCGGCTTTTATTCTAGGAGCTAAACGGGCTTCACAGACAGGCAATTAATTAACTGAGTCTCCCCAACCAGCCTACGCCCTCAGTGCCACGAGGAAGCATTTTGCAGAGGAGGAAACGGAGGCAGAGAGGAGCAAAACATCTCGCCCCAGGTAAGGAGCTGAGCTCGCTGCCGGCACGCCGCTGCCCCCGCAGCGAGGCGTTACGCTCTGCCGGGTGCTCCATGGCTCCCAGCTGCCGTGGAGATGGTCATGGTGTCATTCCCGTTGGTGAAGGAACTGGTCTCAACCTGGGGGAGCGACTGAGGAAGGTCCCGCGGTATCTATCACCGACTGTCATCCCTGGAGCATCTGAGCCCAGATTTAACTCATCAACTGCCACCACCTTTCACCATCCCAGCCTCTTGCAGAGGAATCCCCTGAGACCATGAAGCACCAGGAGGCCCCGCTACTGTTTCCCCCATCTACCCTTGTTGACCAACTCCTGTTTCTCCAGGAGGCACTCAGGGTTTGCAAGGGAAGGTGGTTTTGGCTGAAGGGTTTGCTTTTGGTCCAGGTGCTACAGCTGAGATTTGGGGAGGGACCCACCATTAAGTCACGAAAGAAGAGAGGGTTGATCCTCAGCTCCCCTTCCCAGGTCCTGCTTGCTGACCGGCGAGCAAGACGCAGCCCTGGGAAGCTGCGTGCTGTGGGCAGGTTCTGGGGCACCTGGAGGAAGTGGAGGAATGTGCCTTTGCTCCTGCAGAGTGAATATGTTCCTGGGGAAATTGCCTGCCTTTTTATTATGAAACCCTGCTAATGGTTTGTTGTCTACACAAATAACCATGGGGAACGAACTCGTGCACTTCCCAGCCTGCTCCGTGTCTTCCTGGCTCAGCTCCTTTCTGAACAAACATAACCTTTTGCAAGAATACCTGTCAAAATAGCTTTGAAATATTGAAATAACAGGATGGGATATGGTTTGCTCCTGGGCCCTAGTGCTCATCCGTCAGGGCTCAGGGTGTCCATCCAAAGAGACTTGTGAGCAGGATGCAAAGGAAAAACCCTGGCAAGCAGCAGGGCCCCAAAGGGCTGCATTTGGGGCACTTATCGCCTCGCTGTGCTGGCTTGCTGGGCTCCCACACGCCCAGCAGGGGAGCAGAGCAGCTCCCCGCCTCTTGTGTGGCTCTCATCATGTCAGTCATGGGGCGGGACATGGGGGCTTGTGACTCAGCTGGAGCTAATCAGAGCAAAATTATGTCCTTCAGCCACCATCATGGCTTGGGATTGCCTTCATGGCCTCAATGCCTCCCTCCTCCTCCTCACCTCATGAGTAGGGCATCATCTGTGAGTATTTTTGAGATGGGGCAAAAAGCTATTGAGTCTTGGGTGGGCATTGGAGAGCAACGGTTGATGTGGCTGCTTGGGTGGACACAAGACATGAACAGAGGGCCATCCCCTTCCCTCCCAGTTTCAGAGTCCCAAGGGCTGTTCAGGGGCTCCCCAGGGTGCCCATCTCCAAAGCCACTCATATGAAATGGGAGTCAAACTGGCCCGTGGGCAGTGCTGGGGCTGCACGCAGGAGGTGCCGTGCTCCCTGCTTGGGGCCATGGCTGCGTTTGGGGTTATCCATGGGGGAGCAGCCCGATGTGCGGCGATGGGAGTCCTAGGAGGGAGGGGCAGGATCGCTAGGCCAGGGCCCATGCCAGCTCTCAAGATGGGCAAGCTGTAAATGCTTAGTGTCATCTCCCTCAGCAAAAATCACCCCTCAGTGATGTCCTTCTCTGGAGAGTGGCAAGGAGCTTTCTGCTCTAATTCGTCACCAGCTCCCCAACTTGAAAGGTAAGGGGATAACCCACCCCTCAGTGGCTGGCCCCAAGGGCCACCGCTCTCCAGATGTGTCTGTTTAGGAGGAGAGACCAATACCTTTCAATTTGCAAGAGAAATCCCATTGCATGATGGCACCTGCTCAGCCAAGAGCCCTTCACTTCTCATCCCCTTCCCTGTTCCTGCTGGCGATGGTCTCCCACCTGGAATAAGGTGGGGGATTCTGCTTTTCTGGGCACGTGCCTTTTTTCTCAATGTACTCGGAGGTGATGAGAAATTGGCTACGTACAACTGTTGGGAGAAATCAAAACCAAACACTTAGAAACCCAAACACTCTCCCCGCCTCCAAAAAATATCCCGTCAACCAACCAACCACCAACCAACCAACAAAAAAGTCCTTCAAAGAAAACGCCATCTCTTTCTCTAAAATCCATGATTAAAACCTGGTACAAATAGGTGAATATAGATATATATATATATATTTTAGTAGATGTAGTATTGGTTTTTTTTTTCTCCTCTCTCTTTCTCATTATACAGCAAACATTGCAAATATAGAAATTTTCTCTGTACAATTAACGACTTCGGTTTACAATGCAATGTGTGGTAAAACCTCTCAGTGAGTGAAAATGTGAACGGGCCTTCAACTGGGTAAAAGTCTAAACTGGAAGACTCCGTTTGCAAAAACAGCCCAAAGGATGGATCTCCTTCTGGTCTCTTTTTGGTTTTTGTTGCTGTTTTTGTTGCTGTTGATTTTGGCAGGGAAGGAAGGAAGGAAGAACACAAACTGTTCACAAAGTATCCACAAAATCACGGAATAGGGACTCATGCAATGCAATATTGGGAAACGCCAGACCTCAGCTCTCTGCCCGCTCTTTCACTTTCTTTTTATATTCAATTTTTTTCTTTTTTCTTATTTTTTTTTAAAAAAATCAAAATGAAACAATTTTTTTTTTTCCCACTCCACAGTTTCTTTGTTTTGTAAAGTTTGTGTTCAAATTTGGTGCGTGTCTCACCAATGTGAGGACATTTTAATATCTCGCTTTATATATTATATAGAATATTTATAGATTTTTCATAATTTGTTCTCTCTTTTATTTTTATTGATTTTTTTTTTAATTTTATTTTGTTTCAAAGACAGTCTGAATAAAAATAGCTGCTGCAGATTTCTTTTGGTCCAGTTAGTGTGTTAAGTCACGAGTTGTGTGAGGACTCAGGACTTTTGCTGGGCAGAAACGCCCTTCCAGTAGTCTAAGATGTCGTGAAGATCCTCGTCTTTGGCAAACTGGACCTTTTTGCGTAGGGCGTGGCCGGCTGCCATATACTCCTCCTCGTCTTTGTGCCGCTTGCGGTTGAGTTTGAAGCGCTCCCAGATGCTGTGCGATGGTTTGCAGGTGTACTCAGGGCTGGAGGTGTAGCTCAGGTTGTGATATTGAGGCGAGAGCTGGGAATAGGCCAGGTCTCTGGGGCGAGGGCGGGTCAGAGGCTCCAGGATGGAGGGCTTTCGCCCCGCCATGCTGTCGTGCTGCTCCCCTTGGTGCGAGCCGGGGTACGAGTGCCGGTGTTCACTGTACTGACGGATCTTCTCCGCCTCTGCCCGCAAGATGGCCGCGGCCGGTGTCACAGTGAGGATGGTGTCGGTGGTGGGAGACGTCTTCTCAATGTATTTGGCTTCTGATTTGTGGCCTGATCCCTCAGAGCGGTAGGACCTGGGGCTCCTTATGGAGCCACTGGAAGAGGTGCTGGAGCGTTTTGGGGCCGCCTCCATGCTGTGGTGTCGCTGGAGAGGGTGGTTGTAGCTTTCCTTGTAGACGGGGGAGAGGAATCCATGCTTGCTGGGAATCTGCTCGGACAAGAGCACCAGCTGAGGCTCCACCGTGGAAACTGCCCCCGATTTCACCCCTTGGAAGGAGGTGGACTCAGATTTCAAGGCATCGATGCAGTTGTTGATGATCTGGTTCACCTTATCCACCTCCTTGGCAATGGTGGAGATCTCAGCCACAGAGCTCTGGGTGTCTGGTGGCAAGGACAGCTCGCAGTCTCGCCTCTCGGGCTGCTCACCTGTCCTCACCTCCATGTAGTTGCCCTTGGTGGCCTTGGGGGTCTCGCTGCTGTCAATCAGCTTGTACTGCTCAACCTCGCCAGCAGAAGGCAGATAGGGGATGCGGGTCACCGTCTCCCCACCCAGCATCTGTCCCTGGGACAGCTGGGTGATGCTGGTGGTCTCCATTTCTGGCCCATATTTCAGCTCGATGATGGTCTTCTTCATGCTGCCGGCAGCCTTTTTGTGCTTCTCCTCCTGCTGGCGCCTCTTCCGGAGACAGTAATACACAACACCCAGGACAATCACCATGCCAAAGAGACAGCCCAAGATTGTCATGATATAATGAGTGGCAGTGGAAGGGGTGGGCACTGGCTCCTTGCGGTTGGGTCTGGTGGGTGTGATGGTGACGCAGGTGTGGTTGTACTTGGAGTATTGGTGGACAGAGACTACACAGTAGGTGTAATCTCTTTGTGCTACTAGGTTGCTCACGGTGATGTTCTCCTCCTTCTTCCTGAGCTTGGTGATCATGGAGGAGAAGCCATTTTCAAACTGGGAGAGGATGTACATCTTGCTGAAGGGGTAGGGGATCTGCACGGTGAGGACGGCTGAGTTGTGGTTGAGGTGTTTCACCTGGATGTTGGGGCGCACCTCCGTTTCGCTGATGGGCGTGAAGAGAGAGAACTGCGGGGTCGTGCCATCACCAGAGGAGCACTCCTCCTCGGAGCAGGGGCTTTCAGAGGGCGCCGTGGTCACTTGGTACCTAGGAGGGATAAAACGAGGGATCACAGTGTAGGAGCCACCGGTGCAAAGGGTAGAGAGCATGCTCAGAGCATTGCGGTAGCCAGTCCGGCCTTGGCCTAACAAGTAGTAGCCCGTGTAGTCAGGTGGGGAGTCGCACTGCATCCGGTCATAGGGAGGAGAGCAGGCTCAGAGCATTGCGTTAGCCAGTCCGGCCTTGGCCTAACAAGTAGTAGCCCGTGTAGTCAGGTGGGGAGTCGCACTGCATCCGGTCATACGTGCGTGTCATGTTGGTGAAAGCCTCCAGCCATTGCAGGAAGCCGAGGAGCTCGCAGGAGCAGTAGAAGGGGTTACTATAGAGTTCACAGACAGAGAGCTTGTTTAGGCCCCGAAAAGTGTTGCTGTCAAGTCTCTGGATCCTGTTCATGGACAGGTCAATGTTCACTATGTTGGGGCACTCCCAGAAGGCATTGGGGGTGACGGACTCGATGAGGTTGGCCTGGAGATAAAGGTACTCCAGCTTCCCCAGGCCCCGGAGGATGCCCTCGGTGAGGTTCCTCAGTCGGTTGTAACCCAGCTGCAGCACCTGGAGGTTGAACTGTCCTGAAAAGGCACCATCCTCGATGTAGGAGATCTCGTTCTTCGTCAGGTTGAGGTATGTCAGGTTGCCGAAGCGGCTGAGCGAGGCGTACTGCACGCTCTTGATCTTGTTGTCGTTCAGCCGCAAGTCCACAATGGTGCTGTTGATTTGCTGGGGGATGGACTCGTAGGGGGGCTGGTTTTGGCTGCAGATGGCCAACCAGACGAAGCCCTTGTCCCCTTCGATGAGCCAGCAGTCTGCCCGCACCCCGCCGGTGTGCAGGAGAGAGACAGCGGCCACGCACATGCAGAGGGCTGACGTTGCGGCCCACCGGCGACCTGCCATCTGGAAGGGCGGCACGGAGAAGGGGTTCCTGGTCTGCCAGAAGCGGAGAGCGGTACAGGGGCCGGGAAGATGTGGGCTAGTGCTTCTTCGGCAGCTTCGCTCGCCTCTCCCTTCTCCTCATGGCTTGGAGACGGGGGGGAAGTGTCCGTGGAGAAAGCGCACCTCGGTGCCCACGGTACTTGGCAGCCACCAGTAGCCAGGCGCTACTACCAAGGCCTGGGTGGCTGAGGCTGGTCCCACATCACCAGGTCTCTGGCATCTCAAGAAGGGAGTCATGAAGTTAGGTGCCGGTGTGGAGGAGTCCCTCTGGCTTAGAGACAAGCCTTCCTTTCACTTTTTATAGTACATCTCCTCGTTTTCTTTTTGCTGCCCATCGCGGCACTGGTCCCCATCTCCGTGTGCCTCCACGGGTCTGGCTGTCCCCGTTCGATCCCTCGGCTCACCTGCTCAAAACAAAACACAAGCACAAACTAAACACAAAGGAAAGACAGCATTTAGAGCTGTTGGAAATGCGTCCAACTACCCTCCTAATGTTAGGCACTTGCGTTCTAACTCTGGCTACCACCTTTCAAGGACCTTTGGTTTATTTGGGCACTGCCACCACTGGCATTTGGCAGCATGAGGGAAAGTGGTCACTGACCGTGGAGGTCACTCTCCTTTGAGCATGTTGTCCAGTGTCACATTATAGGCAGGGGAGAGACCAACGCACATCCACAGCACCATTTGTCTGACCTATTTAGGTGTCTACCTTAGGAAGAGAGGAGTGATGCCCCAGAAGTGTCTGTTCCTCTCCACTGAGAGCAGATGAAGTCTAGACAACTCGCTCTGATGTAGATTTGATGCTGCAGCGTTTTGCTGAGGGGAATCCTAACTGTCTCGTGTGCTGATGTGCGCAGCAGCGGTGCCCACGGAGGGGGTTGCTGACTGAGGACACCGTGTCTCTCTGATTGCATTGCTGGGTAGCATCTAGGAGAAAGCCCAGCATCAAGTGCCTGTCCCGTTTCTGGGAACCTGAGCACTAGCTTCCGGGCACTCTTTGACTACAAAACATGCTCGCGTGATTGTCCACCACCTGATGTCCTTGTCTGTGGTTGAGGCTTGCTGCCTGTTGCCAGGACCCCTCTCTCCCTCCCAGGTGGAATGATGCAGAGATGGGGAGGACCCTCAAGTGCTCAGAGGCATAACAAGAGTATTTGCAGAAGATGGGACAAGACCTTCCCTCTTCAGCCAGAAGCATATGTTGAAGACCAGGAAGAGTCTTCACTAGACACAAACCAATGAGGAAAGAAACCTATGGGGCTGCCAGAAGCCTCACTTCCCACAGAAGAACTCTCATTCCTGGCTCACATTTTCTATTATTTTTTCTTGCATTTTTGACCAAACATAAATATCCATGGACAGCACTTTGGCTTCCTTTTGTGATTTCCTATGGAAACAGGAAGGCAGAAGTGAAGAGGGGGGAACTGCATGAGCACCAGCATCTCCTGGGTCATGCTTTTCCACAAGATGTTGAAAATATCATCCATGGACATTGCTACTGCCAAACAGCACTCTGGGCTAGTCAGATAGATGCAGTGAGGTGTTGTGGCAGAGATGGAGTTGCCCACAAATGGGGAGAAAACCTCATGGCCTATCTAGAAAAATCCTTCTTGGGACTTTTGTTGGGAACAGGAGCTCTGGTTGTCTCCCTTGTCCCAGGGCAGACTGTAGGAGGCAGGGAAGACACCACCAGCACTCCTTAAAAACACAGCTGGTAGCAACTGGAGGTTTCTTGGGTATCCATGAAGGAGACAGGGGCACATCTTGCATCCAAGTTGTCTTTCATTGGATCTGCAAAAGAGTTTAAATCCAGAAATTGGTTTCCAAACCACTTCCCAGTGCCCGGGCAGTGAAGGGACTGTGCTGGGTGCTGCACACCTGAAAATCGCATGAGGCTGATGGTCGAGGGGCATTTAGAGGCCGAGGCCGTATCCTTGCCCTTATCCTGAAGAAACCAGATTCTTTTCCACCCATGATCCCAGGCAATGAGGCAGACAGTGTTTCACTGCAGAGACGCCTGTTAACCATTCACAGTTTATACCTCGGTAAACAGGCCAGTAACAACAAGCAGTAAAACAGTTTATTTGTTCTTTCTGTATTGTGAACAGTGAGCCTATTCCCTGGTGGCACAGTTGGGTTTCCATTACATGAATAACAAGATCTGCTCTCGCGTCAGGTCTCTGCACATGAGACTTCCCGGCCACCTTGTCCTCCAGCAGGTGCCCCACCAGCTGCTAGGGGAGGTGAGGCGGTAGGGCAGACCAACAAGCAGATCCCCTGTGCCCCCACTGAGGGCAGGCTGTGTGGTGTGCCCTTCTTGCGGGCTGTACTGGATGTGGTGGGTGTGCAGGCGCGCATGGGTGAGAAGTGCTGGCCCGAAGATGATGCTTCCCTGGGGCCCTGCCTGGGTACTTGCAGGTCTCTCTGCCTCCCCCGTGCTGTCCTATCCCAGCTACATTTGGCAGACGGCCCAACAACACCAGGTTTTCAAAAGTTTACTAGAAATGGGGGTCTAGGTGGAGGAGATGCTGAGGGCAAGGCAGCTGGATCTCAGGTCTCCTCCTTCCTGGGGTTAGAAACCTGGACTTCAGTATGCTTTACATTGCTATTCCAGCTGAAGTCCTTATCCTTATTCTGAAGTCCACCAGCAGTGATACTGATATTGCAGGTAACTCCGTTTTAGGGCAGGAGCACATTTGCAAGGATGTGCTGCCCCTTCCCTGGGATGCTTTGCCAGGCCCTGGCAGCCCATTTTGGCGTAGCTGAGTCCTTGGAGCCAGCGAGGAAGGGAAGAGGGACTGTGGTCCCTGGGGCACTGCAGGCGAGTGCCCCCCTTACCGTCCCCAGCTGGCGGGGAGGCGCGGGCTGCACTGCCAGGCTGGGAGCCGTCTGCTGCTACATCCCTCCCGGCACTGGGCAACTTAATTAACCTCTCTGTGCTCCAGCCTCCTCTTCGGTGCCGTGAGATAATAATAGCGCTTCACAGGGCTGTGGGAGACCGAAGGAAATGTGCCCCGAGCTCCTCTTGTTGGGATGAAAATCCCCGCAGATATGATGTGCTGCAGGTAGAGAACTTCACTCTCTGGTTGAAGGTTGGGGTCTAGATGTGCCTGCTCTCCTCTGCTGTGGGGACCAGCCTGGTCTCCAGCTCCTCAACTTGCCTCCCTGTGGTGGTGCACATTGTCCATAAGGGTGTGGGAGAAGGGCGGCAATGGGTTGTCCTGGCCTGCAGAGCCACCAGCAATGGGCTGCCCCAGTTGTCCCGTTGGGATGGCACGGAGGGTGCTTTCCTTGCCTGCTGTGCCACAGTGCTTGCCCCTGCACGAGCATCTCCCCGTCCTCCTCCATGGGCTTGTGCAATACAGGGACCTCCTGCGGGCAGGGGAAGCCCTGCTGCATTGGGATGGCACCGGCAGCAGGGCGTGATGCATCCTGGCATATTGTCTTTAGCAAGCACTTACTCTGTCTCCTCCAACTCGCATTTTGACCCAACCACCCTCTCTGGGCAAGCTTGCGTTTGGGATTGCTCTGCAGAGCCAAAACAGCTTTTTTTTCCTTCCAGGAGGGAGATTTCTCATCACTCCTCCCTGGGGAGGCTGTGGGCTGCAGCCTGTGCTTGCTAAAGACAATATGCCAGGATGCATCATGCCCTGCTCCTGGGCATTAGCTACTGGAGTGGGACCATCCCGTGAGCAATGAGCAGAGACAGACCCGCCACGGACCTTGCCAGCCTGAGCCCCTATAGCCTTCTCATCACCTCTGTGCCTCCCTCAGCTAATTGGAGGTGTCGGGGGTGAAGAAGAGCAATGGTAAATGACTCAAACACATTCAATAAGGCTCCTGCTGTGTGTTTTCTCTTCTTTCCTGTACGTTGCCTATCAGACAAGTCCTTCCCAACCACAGAAAGGAGAAAAGGCATTTTATCAGCAGCCCGAGTTTAATTTCAGCTCATTAAAGCAAGCAATTTGCTGGTTTATTTGCTTTGCAAAGTGTGAATAAAATGACAGCATTAAGGAGATGTAAGAGAGGAAAGAGGGGTAATCTCCCTTTTTATTAGACTGCCAGGACATGACTGGGGAGTGGAGAAGTGGATCTTGTTGCTTTGCACGGGAAGGATAATCGTTCGTCTTGTTGGCTCCTGAAAGCCTCCCATCCAGCACCACGCTGCCGAGCGCCCAGCGTCCCGCAAGGCAGGGCAAGAGCGGGGGCACTCGCAGTGCATCCCAACTCGCCCCCTTGTAAAAGCAGATAACAGACATCCAGGAGGTTTCTCCTTCTTCCCTTTTCTACCTTTTACCTCCCCTCTCATCTCCCTTTTCTGTCCATTTTTGCTTCTGAAATCCCAGGCTTGATTCTTGCAGGCTAGAAATATAACAGCTGGTTGGCCAAGGAGCCTTTGGTGTCCCTGACCTCCTGCAGCTGGGACGTGGCTCTGGAGAGCCGGGGAGAGACACTCCCCCCCGCCTCTTCCCCACAGACTGGATTAAAATCAGTAAGAAAAGCTAATGTTTGAACCCTCCTGCCTGACTGATTTGTCTTTGCCCCGCTGTCCTGGTTTTATCCTCCTGGTAACCCGATTGCACACCACTTTTCCCAGTCCTCTGACCCTCCGCAGAGCTGCCTGGGAAAACCTGGAAACAAACCACCTACAACGCTACCATGAAAAACAACCAGGGAAGTGGAGATTGGGGGGTCTCCTTCACTGACTAAGAAAGAAGCAAAAGAGAGGAACGAAGATGCTGTGGAATAACAATAATAATGATTTGAAATTATGAATTTAATCTCAATCAGAGATATCTTGAACTGTGGCGCTATGCTGACAATGACAATGTGGGGTCCATGGGGAAACTGTGGTACCCATACAGTACCTTGCAGGTGACCAGCCAAGAAGATGTTGGGCTTATGTGGCTTACAGAGGCCAGCAAAGGGGCAATGACAACTCCTTCGCTCCTTGCTGCTCCTATACGCTG